CTAAGTTAGTTGAAAGAAGGTTCACCTTGATTGAGTGGCACTGCAGTCATGTGGAGCCAGTCATGAGTGAGCACGTGACTGAGACCTGATCCCAGCACTCTTTACAGTAGACCCAAGAAAGTGGGGTCAGTGGAACTGCAGGCCTGGGGATCAAGATTCCTGCTGAGCCTTCGCCAGCGTGGGCAGGTCCCTTAGCCAAATGGGAGTAGTCTTGGCCCACCCGCTCTCCCTCCCAGGGTGTAGTGGGATAAAGTATGGGATATCATGGGGGCAGGTACAAAGATGCCATCAGAACAGAGGTCGTGATTTGTGACTTCTGCCAGGCCCACTCTCTCTGTTAATCAGGAAACTGACAAGCAGTTCTCCGATTCTGGTGTTAAAACCACAACCAAGAATCAAGGTGGAACTAAAACAGGTAGCGCTGTCAGATCATTTGCAGGGAGACGTCAGAGATCGCTTCAGGTAATTTTTTCTAAGGTTTCCTGTATCTTTCAGAGTGATGGTGACAAACCTGGTATATACAGCTGAGTGCCCCCTGCCAGGGTAACTTCTGTGGTAACGTTGCAGCTGACTTGTCAGTGAGGGTCAGAGTCACTGTGGATGACTCACGGGAGTGCCGTGCTCATGATTCTAGCCCTTTATGTTTATATATAACTCGAGGATGGTTCATAATGGGACACAAAGGCCACGCCATCCCATTTTCCCTGGCGGAGAGCAATGACAAAGTAAGGGGTGTGCCTGTGTGTGCTGTGTGTGCGTGGGGAGGCGGGAGACAGCTTGTAGATGAGCAGGTGTATTCTGTGAGAGTTTCATCTCCAGTCCTTTCTTCTGAGGGAGCTAGTCTACAGTGATCCTTTCTGATTGGGTAGGGGCAGGATTCTGCTAAAGGGTTAACCAGAGCTCGCCTTTAACCAGATGACCACAGGGCCAGCCCTAGCTGAGCGAGACCTGCCTGTGGTAGGGAACAGGCTCCGCCAGACGGCTCTAAAGGCTGGATTCTGGAAGCCTGGCACTCACACCCGAAGATGAATGGCCTGGCCCAGTCCCGACTGGAGGCTCACATCTCTTATCTGCACTGTTATAGTGTAGGTTCGGGAGGGGTTGCTGGGCGTCTCTACGTGCTGAGAGCTGGCAGATGGCGGGTGTGTCTGATGGCGCTAGCTTAAGGGGACAGGCAGTGAAAGCATTTCAGATGCACCAGGTAGGAAAAACTTAACCCTGAAAGTGGGCAAGAGAAAGGAAGGTAAATGAATGTTCCTGTTTGATATTAAAATGTCATACTTTATTAATGCTATTGCTTCAGAAATATTTAGAGAGATTTTATAGTTTGGGGGGGTTGGTGACTTAATCATTCAATAGAGTAAATATCGATAAAATTCCAATTAAATGGTGTCTAAAATTTAAAGCAGCAGTCTACAGGCAAAGCGCCAATATTTCTTTAAAAAAAAAATACTCATGAGAACATCTAGCATTTAAAAATCAACCAGAAACTAGGCTTGATTCTGTTTAATGTTTTATATGATTGGACGTCTTAAAACAAATCAGTAATGTTTATATTTTCTAGCAATTCTGTGTTTCTTCAAAACCATAATTCTACTGTGATGTTAATGGAATGACTTTATATGGCTTAAACTGTGTTGGGTTAAGTGCTAATGACCACGTTTCAAATTAAAGTAGTATTTTGCTGATAGAGGTAGGCACAGATATGAAATACGAAAGAATAGATAATTTTACTGATTGTAAAGTGTTTGTTTCAAGAAAAACATAGTTTTGTTTTGTTTTGTTTTGTTTAGGGCTGTAGAAAACAGTAATTTTTTGAAGGGTTTAAGATAGATTTCTGCACTTTGGGAATTGGAACTTGTGCCTATGGAATTTTTGGAGCAGCGTAAGCTACCTTTTAGCTGGATATGTGTGCTAGAAAATTTTTCATTATCATGTTTTGTGATATGTAATAAATTCAGGGTGCTGTGCTTAAGCTTCGTTTCAGTTCAATTTTGGGAACATGTGTTTCCCTCCTTCCCAGCCCTGGTGACACCCCTGTCCCCTGTAGTGTCCCCCCGCCCATCCTTCCTCCCCTCCCCTGTGAAAGAGTAAAGTCAGTCCCTGACTGTTAGAAGGTATGTTTCTTCCTGCGTGGAACAAACGAAATATAATCATGTTCTCTAAGCCTCTGCTTTCCTGTCTGGGAAGAGTGATGCTTTCTCTCCTCCTTTGATGTCTCTTTAATAAATATGTTGTTGTTATTTGTCTTTGGAAGCGGTCTCTTGGGCCACCTCTCAATTTTCTCCGTGATTTATGTTGCAAACAAACCCTCTGTCTTGTGTCTGTTCACTGCTCTCTCCTAATCTTGTGTATCATTGAAAACATGCTGAAGACAGTTTTTATTTTTGCAATTATGTTATATGTGTATTTCAGTGAAATGTCAACCCGTCAACAGAGGATGATGTTACAAATTATCCAAATAAATAGTTTTCTATTTCTTCTAATCAGACCTAGTCCAATCAGTTGAATGACAGTGAATAGGATGATCTGGTGTTATTTAAACAGAGCGTTCCTGGCCCACGATGTACATAGTTTACCTGGGGGTGCTGACTTGGTGCACTGTCACCTGTGTGTGTTTTGTGGCACTGGCAGTGGGTGTCTCAAACCTAGTCTCTTGTTTAGGAGCCTCAGATAGGTAACAGCGCTTTCTTCCCAGTGATTCAAAATCAGATGGTGAAGCCCTGGCTTAGTTTATCTCCCCTTGATGATTGTGCCCTAGAAAGCACTGCCTGGATGAATGGCAGGCTGTTGGGTAGAGCTGGGCTCAGCCTTGCTGCCCCGGCCTGCAGCTCTGCCGGGCAGGAGCTTTCACCCACTTGGCATTCAAGTTGCTGTCTTGTTGTTTCCCTGAGAATGGTGTGGGTCTGCTGCTAAGCCAGACGGTTCCCCAGGCTCGAATGTGCTGGAGGCGGGGATCCTGAGAGGAAAGAGTGAGTGAGCGTGTGTGCGTGCATGTGTGTACATGTGTGTGCATGAGCCTATGATCAGAGGGACAGGAGAGTGAGAGGCAGCCTCACTGACCGCACCACAAACTGTCCAGGGTTTGGCCCTGGGACACAAGTCATTCCCCTGCCAAGACCACAGCATTCCTAGCCTTGAACCTTAAGGCTTTGACTCCAGGCAGCTGTTTCACCCCCACGATTCATAAAATGGAACGACTTGCTGCTCCAATATTCAAAGAATGGTTCAAACCAGACCCAGCCTGGTGTGCCATCTTTAAATATATTTTTATTGAGGTATAGTCAGTTTACAGTGCTGTGTCAACTTCTGGTGTACAGCACAATATTTCAATCATGTAAGAACATGCTTATATTTGTTTTCATATTCATTTTAACCATAAGTTACTACAAGATATTGAATATAGTTCCCTGTGTGGTGTGCGGTCTTTAAAAGGATCCTCTCATAGGTTGAGTGCTATTACGAACAAGGCCATTTGCCTAAAAGCCTCTTGGGAAGGTCTGTACCCCTTGCTGTTCTAAATTAGTGTCAGCACCACTGGCGCCTGCAGGACACCAGGCTGCACTTTCCCACATCAGTGGGCCTAGGCTTGTGGAATCTGGCAAGACTACGGCCACCATCCCCTCCACCCTGCACACCCCCTCCACCACAGGCATGTCTCAAACATGGCTATCACTCTCTGTCTATGTGCTACCCCCACCTGCTGCTGGGGGCTGGGGAGGGGGGACAGGGGAGTGGTCTCCTCCTCTGATAACCCCCTGCTCAGCCCAGTTCTCCTCTGCAGGCTGTCCTGATGTTGGGGAGTATTAGTTGCAGAAGGAAACCCTTACAGCCAGGGTCTCAGACGCTTTCCAAGCCTTTAGCAGCTCCTCAGGGACAAGCAGACTGCCAGCAAATGAGGGAGTACTGCCTGGGTACCGGACTGGTGGCCTTAGACCCGGGGCAGGGAGGAAATGCCTCTTTCAGGTGCAAATCTTTTTGTAGCAAAGGATAGAGGAGCTATACTGTCCCTATTAATGTGCCATTTTTCTTCAGATTGATGGTCAAAACATAGTCTTCTCAGAGCCAGCAACTACCTCTTCCCCATAGATAGTCTGTAAGCATCTCGAATATTTCTCTAATGAGGGCAGTTACACGGAAGGCTTCTCCCAAGGGCTGTCTCAAAGGAACCCGGGCCCAGGGTGAAGAAGGGCGGCTGTGAGGGCCTCAGGGAAATGCAGACTGTCTGAGCAGCCTGGAGGGGTCCCCTGGCAGACCTTGCACTGCTTCCAGAGGTGTATGAGCCCCTTTCGGTGTGCTGTGGTCTTGAAGAGGGTGACCCGACCATTGGCAAGTTCTCAGCTTGAACACAGACTGCAGGCCAGGGTGCCAGGAGATGGCCACAGAGGCTGGCCCTGCACAGCGGCCCAGGTCTGTGTGTGTCCGTCTGTTGCGTTGTGGTCCTGAGTGTGCTTGTGGTGGCAGTGTGCTGTGTCGCTCCCTTGTTCCCATGGCTTTGTAGCAGAACCGGTGGCCCCGATGGCTGCTTGGTCTGCCTGTCCTCCAGCCTCTGCACAAGCTTCCTCGTCCTGGACGCAGCCAGCTAATACATGGCACCCTCCCTGTAGAGCAGCCTGGCGCTGCTCCTCCCCGCACCTGGGGCTGCAGGAGATGGTGCTCTGCAGGCCAGCCTTCTGTGAACTGTCGTCTAGGTGTGGACCTGGGCTGTGGCCATGGCAGACCCTAGGACTAGTAACCAGGGCTAGTAACTGTTCCCTGCAAGTGGGGGTATTTGAAAAGAAGGTCACTGGCCTCAATTATCCCAGCCTAGGACCATCCTGAACTCCTGGCCACACCCTACAACCCTGAGGCTGTAGGGACACATTTGGTTACATTCGAACAAGTGGTCAGGTCCCTGCTGTGTCCTTTGGAGAAACCTCCCCCTCCCACAATGGAATCAGGCAGGCGCACAGCCAGGACCCCGTGTTGTCTAACCTGTTCTGCCGTTTCCGTTGATCTAGGCGGGATTAAGGACACTGCACGACATTGGGCCAGAAATCCGGCGTGCTATATCATGTGATTTGCAAGATGACGAGCCAGAGGAAACAAAACGAGAAGAAGAAGAAGATGTATTCAAAGTAATTATTCCACGCCTAGCTACACACTGGCCACTTGGAAATAGTGGGGCAGGAGTCCAGTTTGGGCAGTTAACGATCTGCGAAAGAGCCTGGAGAATGCACACCAGCCCCAGGACCTAAAGGCCCTGGTGGCCCATACCCTCCCCAACCCAGCAGACCCTGCCCATTCACCAGCACCCCTTGGAGGGCCCGGCCTGCTCCTTCCCTGAGCTTGCTTGCTCCTCTGCCCTACACTGGCCACTTCAGAGGAGCTTGGCCACAACCACCAGCCTTTGTGTATGAGCATCCTGGGTCCTTCCAGCAGCTGCCGGCTCTCCCTCCGTCCTCTTCCCTGGGCCAGTTTTTTGATCTACCAGCCGGCCCTGTGCTTCCCAGACCCCCCAGCCCAGAGCCGGGCCTGCTGTCCAACCTCAACCACTGGGGCTGCCAACAGTGCTGCTGGGCAAGTCGGCTGACCCTGGAGCAGCTGGAAGAGCCCACTCGAGGGACAGCAGAGAGCTTGCCTCCCCAGCCTAGGAACCGGTAACCTTCCTCATTCCAGGGGGACCAGCTGCCACCCAGACAGTCACCCTGATCACTGAGGCACTCAGATTGTTTTACAGGGATCCTACGGAGCTTACCTAGAATTTGTTGTTCATGTAGAAAAAATTACCTAACATAGCTAGCCTGCATCAAATATTTGTTCAATTACCTGGTGTTGTCTCCCATTATTTTGCAGAGAAATGGTGCCCTGCTTGGAAACCATGTCAATCATGTTAATAGTGATAGAGATTCCCTTCAGCAGACCAATACCACCCACCGTCCCCTGCATGTCCAAAGGCCTTCAGTTCCACCTGCAAGTGATACTGAGAAACCGCTGTTTCCTCCAGCAGGAAATTCGGTGTGTCATAACCATCATAACCATAATTCCATAGGAAAGCAAGTTCCCAGCTCAACAAATGCCAATCTCAATAATGCCAATATGTCCAAAGCTGCCCCTGGAAAGCGGCCCAGCATTGGGAACCTTGAGCATGTGTCTGAAAATGGGCATCATTCCTCCCACAAGCATGGCCGTGAGCCTCAAAGAAGGTCCAGTATTAAAAGGTAACCTTGAAAATGTATTTGTACTTGGTAACACAGTGTTGGCCCAAGGGGGGGGTCTGTCTCCCTCGTGCTCTGGTACAGGCAGGAGATTCCCCGTGGGCACTTGCAGTAGGACCTGTGAGTGCGTCAAGGCACTGGCCCTGTGACGAGCCTGTAGGATAGCGGGCCTCCTGCCAGCCTGTATCCTGCTCTGTGAGATGCCCCTGAACACAGCAGCAGCTGCGAACTCTGCCCTCTCCAACTGTACTGCATACTCAGGGACAGGGACTGGCGAACTTTCTCGGTCAAGGGCCAGAGAGTAAACATTTTAGGGTTGGAGCATTGGACAGTTTCTGTCGTAGCTACTCAACTCGGCCGTCAGAGCAGGAGAGCAGCTGTAGATGCAAACACGTGGGTGCAGCTGTGTCCCAGTAAGACTTAATTTGTGGACACTGGCATGAGCTTCACATAGCCACACGTGGTGAAATATTTTTCTTCTTTTGATTTTGTTTCAGTTCTTTGAAAGTATAAAAACTGTAGCTTGTGAGCCATACCAAAACAGGTGACGGCCTACATTTGGCCCTTGAACCATAGTTTGCCGACCCTGCTCTGGGAAGTAGCTTGATAGCTGCTTTTTCAGTTTCGTTGGAAATATTTAACTTTTATCTTCTCCCTCCCTCCCATGGTATGCCTTTCCTGGATAGAACCCGCTATTATGAAACTTACATTAGGTATGTGCTCGTTGCCTGTTTATGTGTTAACGACCATGTGTTTTAAGTGTAACCATCTGGCCTCTCTGAATGCTGAGAGATGAGAAATTCCTGGGAGCCAACTAGCCTAGGGTAGGGTGTTACAGCCCCTAACTGTGGACTCAGCAAAGGTGATTGCTTCTTTGTAAGAAAAGGAGCTTTCAGATCCCTCTCTGCATAGACTCTGTTACCACCCAAGGACCGACACACCCCACAGGCTCGCCCCCCAGGCCTCATCACCGTGCTAGGAAAACCCACTGTGCACTTTTGGGGTGTCTAGTCTAGGCCTGTGGAGCTGAGCAGTCCTGCTGGTCTCTGCGGTCATCTCATGGGGGGCTTCATAAAAATGTGACGCCCACCTCCTGAAGACCAAGAGCCAGGCCTTGTCCTTTGTCTCTCGGGCAGCCCTCTAGCCTTGGGCAGTGCACCCACTCCACGTCTGTTGAACCCATTTGAATTTGGGATGGGATCGTCATTGTGTCGGGGCCAGGGAGGGTAGATCTCCTGGTTTAATTATCTCAAGTGATATTAGAACTCACGTGAGCTGGAGGAGGGCAGGAGAGAGTGAAGAGCTTGGGGGAAGCGCAGTCCTTTCTTTGGAGAGTGGTGATGTCACAGAGCCTGGCTGGTTTTCCTGAGGACTGAAGCCAGGACAGCTGGGTTTTGGGGGACATGACAACAGTCGTGGGGCAGGGCAGTCTTTGAAAACTCAGTGGACATTATCCGGGTGCATCTCTCTCCCCTGGAACACTGTATTCAAAACTCCTATCCCTCTTTCTGGGTCAGATGTGGTGCCAAGTTTGGATCCTCTCTTTCCCAGGCTCTAAAGTCACATTGGGCCAGGTCAGGAGGACCAGAGTTCAGAGCAGGTGGCCTGGGCACCCATCGCTATAGGTTTCTAGGGTGGGTGCCCATCGCTATTGCCGAGGCCCGGCTATAGGAGCTGTCTGCCGCCTGCCCAGACGCTCAGGCCCTCTCTCCTACTGCAGGTCTGACTCAGGAGATGAGCAGTTCCCAACTATTTGCCGGGAAGATCCAGAGATACACGGCTACTTTAGGGACCCCCACTGCTTGGGGGAGCAGGAGTATTTTGGCTGCGAGGACTGCTACGAGGGCGACAGCTCGCCGACCGGGAGCAGGTGAGGGCCCTGTGGCGCGGGCTGCCATTAGGAGGCCTTGCCATCCCCCGTCCCTAGGGCTCCTGCGCTGTGCTCGGGACGGTCCTGGGAGCGAAATGGGAGCACAGTCTCCAGGTGACCGCAGAGGTCGGGGCAGGAGAAAGAGGGCCGCAGAGAAGCAGAGTGGAGGCTGGTTTTTCAGGGCTGTTGACTCATTTCCACCAGAAGCCTATGCAGCTTTTAGCAAAGGTTCCAGAAATGAGAGCCTTTACTAAACCCTGGGGGCTCTGTCCACGTGGCAGCTCGTCCAGCCCAGAGCCTACTTCCTACTTCCGTCCCCTGGAGATGAGGGGACATGAGGACAGAGTGGCATCACTGAGCAGATGTGCCTCTCCAGGCTTCTGAGACAAGAACACATGAGGTTAAAGTGGGCCCTTTGCTCAGGACATGTAGCAGGCAGTGCAGGGGGACAAAGGCCACCAACCACCCTCTGCTCTGTAAACTGCATCTCACGGTGACCCGTGGCCCACAGTAGTGGGCGAGGTTCTATGGTGAGGTCACTCTGGCTTCTAAGATGTTAAACATTAGCCTCGTGTTCCAGGCCAGCCACAGCCTGACCTGCCCTCACCCTGCTCTCCCCCGCGTCCTCAGATAGGCCTCCCAGCGCCGCACTTCCGGAACTGCTGGTCCTGAGCTCATTCTGAGTTGCCTTCTTCAGAGCCTTCCTCACGTGCGACCAGCCCTCGGACTCCCTTCCCCCATCCCAGCTGGCCTCGTCCCACCCTCTCTTCAAGGGTCTGCTCCTCACTCCCATGACTGGAATCGAAAGGCCTCCCCCATGCCTAGAACTCACAGAGTCCACCCTGAGCCCCCTCTTCCAGCACTGACCCCCGCCAACCTGCATTAGAAGTCCCTGCACCTGTGCTATTTAAGTGCATTTGGGGGAGTTGGAGGGCACAGTGCTTTCTGCATCCTCGCGTCCCAGTGCCCAGCCCAGCAGCTGGCTGAGGGCAGATGCTCCAGGAGGAAGTGAGTGGGTGATAGTCAAGCTTGCAGGGCGTCCGCAGTGCACATCTGCCCTGGGTCTGAGGCTGCCGCAGGGAGGGAAGCCACCGGCACCTCACTCGTCACAGGGCTGCCGTCCTGAACCTTCCTGTAACACCCCTTGCCCTCGATCTAGAATCTCCCATGGAGCTTGTTCTCAGCTAGTCCTACTATGTCCAAGGAAGTAGGGAGAGGACAGTGGGACTGTGCGAGCTGAGGGCAGCCTTGTTCACTACGTCCTCACATGCCCCTCGCTCTCTTCTGGCCTTTCCGACCACCAGGCAAAGCTACGGCTACGGCTGCGGCTACTACAACCGACACCCAGGCAGCAGCTTGGATTTCGAGCGGCCCCGAGGGTACCATCACCCGCAAGGCTTCTCGGAGGATGATGACTCGCCTGTTTGCTACGATTCCCGGAGGTCTCCAAGGAGACGCCTACTACCTCCCACTCCAACATGTGAGACCAGGTTTTTTGTTTGGCGGGGAAACCTCGCAGAGACCAATGTGCCTCTCCCCATGCCCTAGCCTGCGGGTGGTGATGCCACGTCAGGGGCCTTCAGTCCTTAAGACCAGTCCCCTGGTTGGAGGTCCTGTGGGCTCACCTTTCTTTCTCATCCATGTCACACGTGGCAGGCTGAACTGCTTCGACGCTGAGAACAGAGAAAGGTAGGGTGGGGCCCTACAGTTGGACAGCGTGTAGTGCCCGATGGGGGGCTCTCTGTGCACATCATCACTGCCTTTGACTGGGGATCTGCCCTGAGAGGTAGGCAAGATGTGCCCAATGGTGTAGACAGACTCGCTCCCTGGACTGGGTAACTGACCCTCAGAGGATGGAGGATGGGCCTGTACTCAGAATGGACCTGAGCCCAGGCCTGTCCTACCAAGTCCCAGGCCTCTGAGGAGCATCTGGGGATTCCTGGTATCCATCCCTCCTCCTTCCTCAGCTCTCTGGCTTCTTCTGTCTCATCTTTGCCTCTGTCTGCCAGTACGCTGTGCTCACAGTGTAGGTTTTGGCCTTGGTGATGACCTCTAGGGTAGGCGCTCCCATCCTGGAGCCAGGGAGTCCTGTCCCGCTGAGAAGGGGCAGGGGCTGGCTGCTGATCTTCTTGGGCAGGTGGCCCCCTGGCAGCGCCTAAGTGAGGAACTGGGGCCACGGAAGGAAATGCAGCAGCGGCCCCACCAGCTCCCGGCCGGGCACTTTGATTTGGGACATGTGGGCATTTTGATGATGGTGAAAGAATATCTGTTTCTGGTGATTCTAACGAATGAGGCATATTTAGGGGCAGGACTCTAATCAGTAACCAAAAATAGCCAAGACACGTCGGTTTTGAGTCTGCTGTCTACGTGCACAGTAACAAGTGTGGCTGGGTGGTGCCCAGGGCCTGTTCTCTCTCCAGCTGTCACAGCCTTGCTGGGGAGTGTAATCAGCCCCATTTCCATGGTTAATATTTAATTTCACAGCCCCCCAAACAAGCTGCTAAACAGAGCGGCTCTGGTCTCCATCAGTACGGGGATGACGCACTTGCAGGCAAGGCCGGGAGGAAGCCTCTGACCTCGTGACTTCCACTGCCCTCCTGAGACCTCCCTCTCTCCCTAGGGTTCACAGGCACTGCCTCCATGAAGCAAGGACTCTTGAGCTGGCAGCTGTGGCCACCCTCTTTGTAAAGGGGAATAAACTAAATGCATTTTATTTGCTTTGCTAGCCATCCATTCAGGCCTCAGGCAGGGAGAACATGGAACTCCTGTGTTCTGTGCTACAGGGGATTACTTCCGCGGGGATTACTTCCGCTGTTAGAGATGGGTGTGCAGAGCACACAGGTTGATGGGTGCACGTGGATTCATTTCCAGAGCTGAAAGGCGCTATCTGAATGCGAGCGATGGTGGTTTTCCTCTCCTGGCTCGAGCCTCTGGCCCCGCCATCTGCTCCTATGAGGGCCTAGAGTTTGTGCTGACCGTGGTCAGGGGGGTCCTCCCCTCACAACACTTAAGTGCGGCCCTGCATGGTGCATGGAAGGAAGGCTGCCTGATGTGGAGAGCAGGTGTCTGTGTCCCATATGGGCAGCTGGACGAGGAGGCCCAGCAGGCCCCAAGGTGTATGTCGGGCCTGTGAGAAGAGACTGGTTGTCTGTCTGGTCCCTCCCCGTTGGGCAGTGGCTGGCAAGGGCTCAGCCTGGTCTTCGTGTTTGGAGCCAGGCCCTCACACAACCTGCTCCTGCAGCTTTTTGTACAGCCCCGGGCTTCCCCGGGGGCCCTCCCAGGCTGGCCCCTGCAGTTTTCCAGTGCAGGAATTAGGGGTGTCTGGAGTCCTGATAGGGCGAAGGCAGATTCAAGAAAGGAGTGTTGAGGTGACTCAGTGCTGCCTTGCAAGTGTCTGGAGAGGCTGCCGAGGCAGCTCTGCGGTGCCAGCGCCTGTGGAGATGTGTCCTGGGGAGGCCTCTGGCCTGTGCTTGCGGACTCAGAATTCAGACCCTTCTCCCAGGCCTGGTGCCCTGTGAAGCCACGAGCTCCGGATCATCTTGTCATCCCTCAACCTGTTCTAAGCCTCTGTTAGAAGCGGCCATTAACAGGACAACCAACCACATTCTTTAAAGTTCGACGTTTCCTTTCTTGTTTGTTTTGTCTTTGGTGCTGGGGAAGCTGGGTCTTTCCCAACCAAAGAATGTGCTTATTACCTGAGTGGGTGACAGGGCAGGTGGCAAACAGAAATGTAAGTGCAGAGTCCCAGCAGGGTGCCGCACCTCCCACATACACTCAGGAGGCCTGGAAGGTGAGGACAGGGCCGTTTGCAAGTGGCTCTGGGATTCTAGAATGAGGTCATGTACTTGACCTGACATGCTGTGTCCCCACCTCATGCAGGGCCAGGGGCTTCAAGTCAGAACAGCTGCCCTCTGGCTGCCTCTAGTTCCTGCCCTGGAGAGCAAGTGCAGCAGGGATGAGAAATCAACTTGCACTTTTTGAAAACATAACCTCAGTTGGGCTTCTTCTCCCAAAGTTCTGAGACCTCACTGCCTAGTGCTTTCTCTCGGATATGGTGCTTGCTTCTTCCTGGGCTCCCTGCTGAACGTCCAGGGGGCTGCCCCGACCTAGAGCCCCGGGGCCCTGACAGAGCTTGTTTCACAATGGCATGGTGTGCTCTGATTTCTCAGCCCACCGGAGGTCCTCCTTCAACTTCGAGTGCCTGCGCCGGCAGAGCAGCCAGGAGGAGGTCCCGCCATCCCCCGCCCTCCCCCACCGCGCGGCCCTGCCTCTGCACCTGATGCAGCAACAGGTGAGCAGGCCCACCCGGCCCTGCCCCTACGGCCGACGGGCACCCTCTTCCCCTTGGCTCCCAGCGCCGGTGGGAAGTGGGGAACCTTCACATGCACTCTGGTTCAGTCCTATAACCCCGCCAAGTAGAAACAATCGTGAACCCTCTCCTATGGACGAGCAAACATCAGAGAGGGAAGGTGACATCCCTGAGCTCACACAGGAGGTGAGTGGCTGACTTGGCTTTTGAGTTCAGGGCCACCAGCTTCCACAGCTGGGGTCTTATCCTCAGTGCACACCTTTCCTCGGCACTGAAGGCAGGGCCTGGGACAACCCACGCCCCGGGGAGTGGCGGCCACTTGACTGACCCTGAACAGTCAGTGCTGCCCTTTGTTTGCTCTGAGAGGTTGTCCCGTCACTTATGGAGCCCTCTGGGGCCAGGCCCTGGGGTCACGAGGGTGGATGAGCCTCCAACCTGCCTGCAAGGGGGGTGTGGTCCAGGGAGACGGACCTGTCCAGTGAGGGCGGCCAGACAGGAAGGAGCCTACTCTCCGGGGCTTTGCCTCCAGGACAAGAATGTGGTACTTTTTCTTCCTGAGAAGAGCACATGAGAGATGCTGTCCTCTCAGGTCTGTGGGTCTGGGGACAGGTGGGAGCACACACCGTACAGTGAGCGTACAGGGCCAGCCTTCCCGGCGAGCTTCCTACCCTAAGCGTCCTGAACACATGAACACCAACTGCCATTTCAGAGTCTCTGTTCAGGTTTCTCTGCCAGCCTTTTCCTTTTCTGCCTTCCATTTTTATGTTAACTTTCGTGTCCTGCTTTGTCGTGGATGGAGGACAAACGTTGGGAAGGCCCAGGCCCTCAAACGCCACATCCCCCACAGGCATGGAGGTCTATCCCGGCGGGCTTGCGGGTGACAGTGCCCTTCCTCTGCTGCCCACCCTGCCTCTCTCCAGCCATACTGGCTTCTGATTTGGCTACAGGCCTGGCTGTTCACAGGACTAGGCCTCAGTGTGCCCCTCTGCAGAGTGGGACACCAAGGCGGACCTGCGTGGTACCGCTGTGGGTAGGAGAAGCAGGTTTGTACTTGGTGCTTCAGAACAAAGTGCTGGCCGTGGGATGCGTTGCCCTTAGGAGAACCAGCCTGTTTCCCTATGAGCGCTGGGCGCTGTCAGTTTGCCCTGAGTGTACTTCCCTGTTCAAATCCAGAGTGAACTGGGTGGCATGTTCATACCCCACGGCTGGTGTGTCTTCCCTGAGCCATCTTTGTTATGAAACAATTTCACAAATTAGCAACTGATTCCTACTTGGGAAGTCATAGGAAACATGTAGACTTGGGGAAAAAGAATTCCCAGTTTGTGAGAAAGCCAAGTGTTTACGGCCAGCGCTCTGAATTAGTGTGCTCCTGTCCTTCCGAAGCCCTGTGAAACAGCGCCTCGTGCCTGGCCTGTTCTCGGGGGACCTAAGGCTGGGACTGCTGAGGACCTCTGGTCTCCCCACTTCCTCTTTCTCCTCAGATCATGGCAGTTGCTGGCCTAGATTCCAGTAAAGCCCAGAAGTACTCGCCGAGCCACTCCACCCGGTCGTGGGCCACCCCTCCAGCGACCCCATCGTATCGGGACTGGACGCCATGCTACACCCCCCTGATCCAGGTCGAGCGGCCAGAGGCCCTGGACCAGGTCAACGGCAGCCTGCCGTCCCTGCACCGCAGCTCGTGGTACACGGACGAGCCTGCCATCTCCTATCGGACCTTCACACCAGCCAGCCTGACCGTCCCCAGCAGCTTCCACAGCAAAAACAGTGACAAGCAGAGGAGCGCAGACAGCTTGGTGGAGGCAGTGAGTTGGCCACAGGAGGGCGCAAGTGGGGAGAACCACGCACAGCAGGAGCGGGTGTGGGTTCTGAGGGTGGACGGGCTCAGAGTCACCCTGCCTGGCTTTTGAACCTAGACACCGTCTACTCCTTAGCAGCAAGGATGGTAATTAAAGGATGAATATAGAAACACCACCCCTGCTGGGTTTCATCAGTTAGCTATGCCTAGGATTGTGTGTGCTGTTCCTGCAGATACAACTAGTTTATACTGAAGTACTTGCCCCCCATGCATTTCACTCTTGTTGGGCCACGTGCAGTTTTTGAACTCCTTTAGGTTTTCAAAGCCATTTACCCTCACCCTGTTATCATGTATGGGGTCACGTATCGGGGACGGGCTGAGTCCCAAAAGCATGTCATGCAGTCGGTGCTTCAGGTGGTTTTCCTGTCATTTTCCATTCACACCACTGATCCTCTTTCCTGTCTAGGTCCTGATATCTGAAGGCTTAGGACGATATGCGAGGGACCCAAAATTCGTGTCAGCAACAAAACACGAAATTGCCGATGCCTGTGACCTGACCATTGACGAGATGGAGAGTGCGGCCAGCACCCTGCTGAACGGGAACGTGCATCCCCGGGCCAACGGGGACGTGGGCCCTGTCTCACACCGGCAGGACTATGAGCTCCAGGACTTCGGGCCGGGCTACAGCGACGAGGAGCCAGACCCTGGGAGGGACGAGGAGGACCTGGCAGATGAAATGATTTGCATCACCACCCTGTAACCTCCAGGGAGGGGCAGACTGGCTCTGGCCTCAGGTGGGATGCCAGAGGGCCAGGGGAAAAGTGCCTCTGTAGTTAGGAAGATTTAGGCACTAGTGTGGAGTCCCTATTCAATTAGACGTTCGTATAAGTGATGTCATGCCTCAAGGAAGCCATAAACCTGGTAGGGAACAGCCGTGTCCATGTGCTCAGCCCCAGCCCAGCTGCAGGCAAGAGCAGGTCCAGCCCTCCCGGAGAGGAACAGCGAGAAGGCCGGACAAGCCTGCCCGCTTGTGCTGGTCCGGAGCGCACACCGGCCACCCGCAGGCACGGGGAAGGCGGGGAGAAGGTTTAAGGTGATGACGATCACCATACCTGTGTCATTACCTCAGCTGTCAGTCTAGCATATCAGACGTTCACTGGGCCCAGCATATCCATTTTTAAACTCTTTCCCCCCAAACACACTGCTTCCTGGTTCCCGTGCAGCTGTTCTGAAATACAGTGTGTAATCAGGACCCACCTACCAGCCGCCGTCCTGAGGGGGAGCAGGACCCTGTCGACAGGGTTTTCTGTGACGTGAGGCCAGTTTACAGGAGAGAGCATCACTCTGACGGTCAGTCTCTGACTGTCGGGGTAAGAGCAGCTGTAAACTGGAATAATAATGCACTCGCAACCAGGTAAACTTAGATACGCTAGTTTGTTTAAAAATTATAGATTTACTGTACATGACTTGTAATATACTATAATTTGTACTTGTAAAGAGATGGTCTATATTTTGTAATTATTGTACCGTATTTGAAATGCAGCAATATTCCTGGGTCCTAATAATTGTAGTTTCCCACTGAAATCTAGAAACTATTAGTATTTTTACTCGGGCTATACAGAAGTAGAAGAAATAGAGCCAATTCTCATTTATTCAGTGAAAATCTTTTGGGGGTAAAATTTTAAGTTTAAAAGAACTTGACACTACAGAGATTTTTTCTAAAATATTTTGAGTCACTATAAATCTGTCTTTACACACGAGATACCAGATGACTATCTGCAGTCTTTTCTGTGGGCCAGGGTTCTGTGATTTGATATTGTACCTTCCGATCCACCATGGGTTGCAGCTGTCTTTTGTTTTACTTTAATACCCCTCCAATGAGTTCACTGCAGAGTAGGTCGAGCTGGCTCCTCTGACCCTGGGGCATCACAGCCGTGGTCTTCTCAGCTGCCCCCCACAGGACCTTTTTGCCTTTCCGGTGCAGAAATAATCTCACAGGTGAATGAACTCTCTCTGCTGTTGTCCCCCGGGGACTGGTGAGGCTGCTTGCTTGTCTTAGGAAACATGGAGTCCTGGGGCAGGGGGCCGAGTGGGCCAAGTGCTGATCTCCAGGCCCAGATGTCGGGGTCTGTACGAATCATATTGTTGCCTTTTTTACGAAACACTGCTGTACTGTGTGTTCTCTTTGAGGGCTTTTATATGCAACTGAACGAGGGCTGACATTTTCATTAGAATGCACTCACTCTCCAGTTGGACTTCCTGATGAAAACTCACTTTTGGATCATGAGACCCATCGAGGTTTCCTTTTCTGTTCACAGAATTATGCCGACTTTGTCAAGTTAGTGACCTTGGCGGGATTCCCTGCAGTCAAAAAGACTGGTAGCAATTTTTGGTTTGAAATTTTTAATTATATCATCTATTAATGTTTTTTTGGGGGGTTTGGTTTTGTAAATAACACTTTGTTATGAAGACCTTACAAACCTCTTCTTAAGACATTCTTACTCCAGATCCAGGCAAAAACACTTCAAGGTTTGTAAATGACTATTTCCTGACGTAAATTCTTTTTATTAAAATGTAAAATCAAACTGTGTAATAATTTTATTGTATTTGGGAGCTCTCCTTGCAAAGAGCTGGTGTTCGTCAGTGAAAGCTTCAAAAGGGGCAGGTACTCTGAGGACAAGTCTGTAATTATGTAGATTTTTCTTATCCTCACAGCTCCTTGGATGCCAACGTTAACTTAACACCAGCTGCAGGTAGCACTGTTTCTCCTAAAGGGCTAACTCACTGACACTGTCATCTCGGACTCTGTCTCTCCACCGGGTACTGGTTGACTGTGTGGCTTACTGTCATCCGTCCACGACTGCCCTGCCCGGACGCACTTCTTGGCACAGGTGATGACCTTTCCTAGTCAGCACTTAAAACCTGGCATTTTTACAGGCTGCACCACTCCTCATGTCTGTCAGCTAACATTAAATTTTCCTTTGTGAGAAAAACTTGAAGTTGCAGAGCATGGTTTTTACCTTTTAGGAGTTTTAAGATTAAATGTCTCTCCTCTTTGGTTCCTCTCCCCACCCCTAAAAAGTCATTTTGTCATGTCCCCAGGAATAGTACATTGTTTTTTTCCATCTTGTGTTTTCTGTGATAGCATAAGATGGAAATGGCAGCTCTAACTACTGACACGCAAGAACTTCATTAACAGCTGTCTCCGTGATTTCCATCAGACAGCCGAGCCAGAAGGCACCTCCCAGCTCCACCCTGAAATGTTTCAGAATCGGGCCAAGGCTGGGAGGGGTGCATTGCAAAGGCCCCAGAAGCTTCTCGGTGTACAGAGTGGGCTTCAGCTGCCCAGCGAACCTACTTTATGGCTGATCCTGCACTTAGGAGAGAAACCAGAGCAGTTAATGTCATACTGTTTGTTTTTCAGTCCTAAGTAAGTGTGTTTGCCTGTCTTCCTCAAAGGTTTTCATTGTGAGGCTGTGTGGTCAGTTTGTTCTGAAAACTGGTTAGTGTCACAGAGTTCCAGTTCCTTTATTAGCCTCCCTAGACGCAGACTCCTGCTGTGCCTTCACCTGTTGAAAAAGTTTTAATTTCTCTAAAATGATACTCCTTTCCTACTGGGACTAGGAGGCAGGTGAGAAAGAGGAGCAGACCTGGGGCCTTTGCTTCCAGCAGGGAAACAACAGTGTTAAGTGGCCTTGAGGGCGCCCCGCGGGGCCGGGGGCAGGAGCTCCCCTGGGAGACTGCCCGGGTCTCAGTTCAGGGCCAGTGGGGAAGGCTGTGTGCTTTTCTCTGGCTTTTAAGAGAAAAGCTCCTACTATGAGATCTGATGTTCAGCTGTTCAGTGGAAATAAGAAACAACCTTTGGGCAGAAGACCATGGTTTGGATGGAGAGGAGACTCTATTTGAATTTATGGACAATTCCTGAGCCTGCACTGGAAACAGAAGGGCCGCACATGAAGGCACCAGAGCCCCGCTTCGGGACCTGCCATTTCCTGGTCACCTGCAGGTAGGCTGCTCCTTTGCCCCTTTTTCCAACCACGAATGACCTGTTGAGGCTGCAGCTTAAACACTGGCTTCTTCACGTGGGTCCGTGTTCCTCAAAGCCTGGGCACAGCTTTCTGTTAGGCTTTTTCAACCATTTTTTTTAATGTACATTTTTCCTTAAATGTACATTTTTCCATGTTGAGGGTCTTGCAAGCTTGCAGCTAAGGGGCTTACCTGACAGTCTCCCCGGTTCCTCGAGAGGCTGAGTGCCGGCTGGTCTCTGTGCCCTTGGGCCTCTTGACTGTGGTCATCCTCCGTCTCTGGCTTCCTCAGCCAACGACCCTCCCTTCTGAGGTGGAAGGTTCCCTCGTGGTAGTGGGACTTTCAGACACCCCATTGCTGGGACACTGCTCCTCTCTGCCCAGATGGCCACAGCACTCACCTGTCAGGGCTCGAGTGAGGAACCACTTGTGGTCACAATATTCTGTCCGCGGTCTGAACCCCAACAGCAGTTTTCCTGTGGGGTGCCGGGTCTCTGACACTCATGGTCTCCTGTGAAAGGTATTTCTGTGTGTGGCGGTGCCGTGGGCTCATGCGGAACAAGGCCTGGGAAGCAGGCGGGGGAGCGGGGCCTGCATGTCCCTCCGACCGTACAGGCTCCTTGTGGTATGTCACCATCTACCAAGTCAGCCACTGTGTCAGAGGCTGGGCCCGGCCTGGCACGCAGAGGTGGCAGAATGAATGACCAGCACCAGAGATCAGCAGTCACGGTCAGGCCTGGGACCCCCCCCCACACACACACACACACATACCCCTAAGGTGTCACTTCGTGGCCCTCAGAGTGGTGGGCTGGCACCTGCACTCCTGCTGCTCCTTAATCCCTGCAGGAGGCTCCAAGACCCAACAGATGCCTGTGGGGCAGGTGGAGACGTCTCTAGGAGAAAGAAGGCTCTTGGCAGATTTAAAATTTTCTTTCTTGACCCTCCCTTGGAACAGAAAATAAAGATACAGTTCAGATTAAACAAGAATTCCTTACACATTTTTAAAGGAAGCAAGGTGTGACAGTTTTCTTCTTTCCACTTTTCTGGAATCTTTCTCAGAAACATAAATTGCAGCTGTCAGGCCTCCAAGCCACCTCAGTCCACTGTGATCTGGGTGAAGCCTGGAATGTTCCACTTTCCTCCCTTCCTGATTCTGGGCCCAGCACGACAGGTTGGACTAAAACTGCAATTATCTTTCCTGCCACAGACTGGGTATCGCCAGAAAAATCAATCCAAAGTGTTTTCAAGTTTTCATTACCTTGTAACAACAGTACGGATAAGGCATCTCAGTTCAAAAATAAGTTACAGAATTGCATTGCTGAATTATAAATTTAAAGATCAGAGAGCTGTTTTAAATGCTACTTTGTATTTGTTTTCCCCCTAACCTCAAATCTTCACCAATTTATTTTTCTTTCACTCAGTTGTGTTTTTTACAGGATCAGGATCACAGTTTCACTTGACTGCTTCTTCCATCAGTCTGGCTCCCGCCTGGCCCATGGACGTGGGGAGGATGAGAACTAGCCAGCCCTGGCCGCTGCGGAGCCGCTCCGCTCCCCAGGCTGAGGGAGGCCTCCTCTCAGCCTCGCAGGTCTGCATGGAGCGGGGCCAGGGATGCAGGTTTGCTCTGGGTTTCTAGGTTTCCTGGCAACAGGAGAATCTTTAAAAGTGCTAAATCATGAAACCTATGGTAGTGAAGAAGCCTTCCAGACTCGTTTCCTGGAACAAGGTCCGGAACTCCTCTCATCGGGCGGATGACGTTAATAAGAACCGAGCATCAAGACGCGGGTGGCAAGCCCTTCAGCAGGACCTGCCTGAGCACGGGTTCCTGCCTCGCTGTGGGACTGAAGCCAGGAAGTGGCAGAGGGAGGAGCAGCCTGTGTCTCCCAGCAGGCAGCTTTTCCTTCTGGACGGGGATGCTGGAGGCTGTGCCCATTGCGGCTGCACTTCCAGTTTTCAGCCAGGAGGACGCCCCAGCCTCCGTGCCAGCACCCTGCTCTTTGAGGAGCTTGCCTCCAGCAAGAACCACCTTCTTCAAGTCCTCCTGGGCCAAGGGAGGCAGCAGGCAGGACGCTGGGTTGGAGAGCACCATGGAATAGAAGGCAAGGACCTGGTAGGAGTTAACCCTTCTCCACCAGACTCCCCTCCCCTCTGCTGTCCCACCAGAAGGCAGGGAAGAGGGACCCCAACCAGAACGCTGGCCTTCCCCAGTGGGCCCACAGGGACATGCTGGGAAGAAGGAACCTGATTCACTGTCCAGTACTGGTCTCATTTCTTAAGAAATTACCCAGTTCTCAGCCACTGAATCATGACATGCTAGAGAAGTTCAGGGAAGAGTATTTGAAGCAAGGGCTGTGCTGGGCCTTCTCAGGCAGAGATAGCCTCAACGCTGGGTGGCCAGGGTCCTGGGCTTGTAGACAGGGGACATTCTCGTCCCAGAGTGCCGGCCGCCCCCTAATGATGTCAGCTGCCTTCTCTGCGATCATGATGGTGGGGGCGTTCAGGTTGCCACTGACCACACTGGGCATGATGGAGGCATCGACCACCCGGAGGTTTTCCACCCCGAGCACCCTGGTCTGCGGGTCCACCACTGCACTGGGGTCAGAGGGCTGGCCCATCTTGCAGGTGCATGCCGGGTGGTAGGCGCTGTCTGCTTTTGCTCGCACGAAAGCGTCTATCTCTGTATCTGACTGGATGTGGCTTCCTGGCTGGAGTTCCTGCCCCCGGAATGGTGCCAGGGCTTTCTGTGCAAAAATTTCCCTAGTTAGCCTCACACACCGCCGGAAGTCATCAATGTCAGCTTCTGTCAAGAAGAAACAGGTGAGATGCCTCCTCTTACCATGCTGGCTTTGTATGAAGGTTCTCTAGGTGAAGAGGCTCAGTAAGCTGCCTGAGACGACACTTCATGGGCACAGAGGTCCGAGCTACCAGGTTGCCTGTCACCTACCTGTTGGTGGCTACAGGTCAACCAAGCAGAGTCCCATGAAGCCCAAACAGGCAGCATCCTTGACCGACACAGCTTGCTCCAGAGGCCCCAGGTTTAAATCAGGGATCTACATTTTATCCATAAAATGGAGGTAGGAATACATGCCCTGCCCAGTGGGGACCATGCAGTTTTTGCTGGCAGATCCAGGAATGTAACTGGCTTTTAGAGGATGTGCACAGGAACAGTACAAAAAACGCTCTACGAGCCATCTATACACAGCCAGATCCCTTTGTATCTCTTGGGAGATTGTTCTGAAAGCTACACATTCCTTGTAATGTGTAAAGTGATGTCCCAGAGTTACTATAAGTGACCCACACACTACATAGCGGCATGGGCAAGTTTACAGCCCAGAGCTCTGGGGTGGAGGGAGGGCAGGCAGAGCGTGACTTGTGTCTCAAAAAGTGGGGGCCAAGAGTAAGATTCAGGGTCCACCATGAACCTCATAAAGGCACTCACTCATTCAGTGCCCCGGCAAGCCCGGACCCAAGGGAGACAAAGGTGTCTGGTGGATTACCTGTTGACAAGTAGTTGGGCTGGATCACAGGGTGGTCGTGGGGGTTGGCACTTCTCAGTTTGAGCCAGCCCACACTTGTGCCCCGCATGGTCCCCACGTGCACCTAGAAGAGCCCAGAGGAAGCGGTGACCTCCATCAGCCCCCCCAACTCGGCCATTTAGAGAGGCCCCGGGTCTCCTGTGAGGTGGGGCTCAGCACCAAGACAATTAAGAGCGGATACATTTGAGCATCCGCCTGCATCTTAACCCCCCCCACAAGGGATCAAGCCACCTCCATTAATCACTCCTGCCTCCTCGCTCTGTACCTAATTGTCCAAAATGTTCAGGGGCTGGCCATCCCTGGGCAGAGCTGACCTCTTTGTCCACTTCTAGTACTCAGGCCCCAGAGCATCTGCCCTGAGCTGGGTGCGGTTCTCACCTTCCCACGCACCATGCAGTCTGCCTCACTTCACCTCTCGCTCCCCTGTTCCCTCCCCTCAGATACTCTGAGCAGCTGGAGGGCAGGGTGCAGGCTTCCAGGCCACCCCTCCCCCAGCTGAAGGCCCTGCTGCAGCAGAGAGACCACCTGCCCACCTGGTAAGCCTCCTGCTGCGCGGGAACCCGCCCGTGGTCGATCACCTGGGACGGCAGGAAGTGGAACTGGATGTCCGGATGGGGGACACCTGCCTGGCTCCGGATGAACCCACCTGTCTCCAAATGGGCTGTGGCTCCATCCCCTGAGAATCAGAAGATGGTGAGGCAGAAAAGCAAGTCCGGGTGTGGTAAGTGGCCAGCCTCCTCCTCCTCTTCCTGTCCTATATTCCAGTGCCTGGACCCAAGTCCTCAGCTCTGTCCTCTTTCCTCCAGGTGGGCTTACCCAGCACCAGGGCTTTCAATGTCAGCTCTGGGCCAAGGGGCTTCAGCGTTGCCTCCTCCCCTAACTTCACCGCTGCCACCTTGACTGTGGGACCTGAGGTCCCATGGGCATCTCAAGCCCAGCTCAGCCCCGCGTCCACGCCAGACTGCTCCTCTCAGTCAAGGCTAAAATCAGAAACTCCTCCCTCTACTCCATTGCTCATGATCAAGCCCATCAGGAAGTCTCATTAACTTCAGCTCCAAAATCGACTTCACTCACACCCCAACCTCCAGCCACGTCCAGATCGCCTCTTAAGTGGTGGCATCCTTGATGGGATCTGACCTACCTCTGTGCTTCCTGCAGCCCACCCTTCACACACAGCCCTGATCAAGCTCAAGGCCCTCCTCTTCCATCCAACCTCCCATCACTGCTGCCTCCTCCCGGTGCTGCAGTCTCCCTGACCCAACAAATTCATTATTCACTCACACACACTAAATGCCTAGCCGCAGGGCCTTTGCACGTATTCTTCCTGCCTCTCAGACCCCCTGCCACCATTCTCCAGCTTAATTAACATCCTGATTGTTCCTTCACTGTACTTAAAACTTAGCATGTTGCTTGCATCATTTAGCACTTCTCACCATGTAGCCCAGCACACAGTAGGTAAGCAAGGAATGCATGCTGAGCACGTAAGTAATGGTGCTTTTCAAAGCACCATTTCCTGGCAAAACAGTTCTCTGAGATTCAGCTAGGAACCCAGTGGAAAATGATGAGAAATGGAGGCTGATTCTGTAGTCTGGCACCAAATGCTTTTTCCATACCTTTTGTCCTGGCCCCTTAGACCCCAGACTGTGTCCAGCATGAGGCCATCCCCATCCATGTGTCAGGGAGAGCAGCACCTTACCCCTGCGGACTCACTTCCGCAGATGGGAAGACTGAGGCTCAAAGAGCTAAGGTAATTCACAGCCCAGCTTTAAACCAGGAACCTGGGGCCACAGCCCTTGCTAGGCACCTCAGGAAGGAGGCCATGCTGGCACAGACCCTCTCTCCCCAGGTCGTGGACGCGCACACCCACCTGTGAACTTCCAGAGCCACTCCAGGCCAATCCGGACCTTCCTCAAGGGCTTCTGCGCAGAGTGGAGGGTGATGGGGCGGGTGCACGCCTGCTGGATGTACACCTCCAGGTGGTCTTGCAAGTTCTGGCCAACCCCTGAAACAGGAGGGAGTGGTTAGGAAAACAGCTCCTAAGGCGGCTTAGCTTGGCTCTCAGCGTCCCCTGGTCTTGAGAACGTCTCCCCCATCCACCTACCTGCCAGTCCCGCTCCTGCTTATGCCCAGGGACACCATTCCCACACTCCCGGCCACCTCTGGCCCTCTCAACTTGCCCCCAGGGCAGCACCTGTCACCTTCCAGGTCCTTCCTGCCCAGCAGCACCCTCCACAAGGGCAGGGCCCATGCCTGCAGCTGGCTCCATGCAGCGAGCTGTCCCAGCACGGCTGATGGCCAGATGGCCTGACAGCCCACCCTCACCCCTGGCCTGGGGAGGAGGGAAGGTGACCTGTGCCGACCCCACGTGAACTCATCCAAGCCCGGGGGGTGCTGGGCAGGGCAGTCACAGACCAGCACTTCCACAGGCCTCTTACAATGAAGCCTTGATGCAAAAAGGCCCGGGCCTCTGAGACTGGATTATGAGAGAGGGCAAGAGGGACAGGACCCAGCCCCGCAGGACATCAGGAACAGCCTATAAAATAAACATTAGGCCTGGGAGAACTGTCGTAGCATGAAGAGCATGCCAGGGTAACTGGTAAGTCCTGAGGATGGAAAACACCAAGGCCTGGACCCCTCTCACCACAGGGCTGCCCTGGTGACCTGCCTAAACCTGGCCCAGTCGGCTTTTCAGGGTGAGGCTCCCTGCCAGAGGGACATGCTGCTGGGATGGATGGGCTGGCCAGAGAAGGGAGGAAAACCACACGAGGGCTTGGGGTCCCCCTGGGAGTAGGAGTCCAGGGAGGCATGGGGACCTTCAGGCTCATGAGAAGAATGTGACAGTTCTGTGAAGCCCTGACTCTTGTTCCCTCCCCACCCCATGCTAATAAAATACAATAAACCATTTTATGTAGCAGAGACTGCTTTGGGGTACAGTGCGGAAGGGAGCTCACCAGGAAGGTGGCACACCACCGAGATGCCCAGTTTCTTGAGGTCGTCTGCGTTGCCCACGCCGGAGAGCATGAGCAGCTGCGGAGAGTTGATGGCACCTCCACTCAGAATCACCTCCTTGCTGGCATAAGCCTAGAAGAGGCACAGGGGCATGCAGGTCACACAGTTCCCAAAAAGCCAGTCAGAACCCCAAGAATGCAGCCATGACATACCCCAGTGGTGGCTGGGGATCCTGCTCACAGGCCCAAGAGCGAGGAAGAAGATGCTTAGGGCGCCACTACATGAAAGCAGCCTGCACGTGCAGCTATGGGGTATGTGTGGCCATAAACAGGGGTTCATACTCTGATACATTCTGCAACAGCCAGGCAGTAAGGATGGTCTTAAAAACAGGGCTGCAGAGCTTAAATTAGATAAATGAAAGCAGGCACTCAAGTGAGCAGTTGAAATAAAGCACGTGATGACCCAGGTCTTCACGTGGGATGCAGAACAGTCCCCACATGCTACTGGAAAACAGCACAGTGCAGAAATAAGGAGTGTGAGCCCATGGATGGTTTTTAGTCTCTAATAGAAACCTGCCAATTTTTGGACAAGTGTAGAAGGCAGAAGCAGCCAGAGGCTCATGGGGGCACTCACGCCAGGGCACCACAGGCCCTTTGCAGGTGGCTGGACTGCAGCTTCCTCACCTCTGCCAGGTCACCACCTCCTGGAAGGCACTGGGGGGGGCAGTCTTTCAGGCCATTGCCACCAGCTGCTCACTCCTAATCACCACGAGGATGGGGACTGGAGCATGGCTCCGCCCACACTAAGCACGACCACGAGGTCACTGCCCACTCTGCCTGCCGTGTGAGCTGTCCAGGCCTGGCGGTAGTTCACTCACCCGCTGGCTCTGGCCATTCTTGACATACTCCACGCCCACTGCACGGGTGCCTTCAAACAGCACCCTCCTCACAAACGTCTGGGCCTCAGCCGTGAGGTTGGGGCGGCTCAGCGCTGGGTGCAGGTACGCACAGGCCGTGCTCCAGCGCTTGCCTGCACAGAGAGCAAGGAGGTGAGGCACAGCCCTGTTTGTTCCTGGGCACCTATCCTGTAGGAGGAATTGAGTAAGGACTAGAGAAAGGGAATCTGCCTTTCCCATGACCGTGCAAGCTTTGCCTTCAAAGTAAGGCTGAGACCAAAACACCCTTCCCAGCCAGAATCCACATCTATCCGGGGCCCCTGGATGCAGGTGGAAAAACATCCTTCACCCTCTGCAAGATGACAGAGACCAGGAGTGGCTCATAACGGGGTGAGAACCCTGTAGAGGCAGCAGGAGCCCTGGGTTCACCCCTACCTTGCATCTGCCCTGCTGCAAGCAAGGCCCATCACTGCTTCGTGCCTCCGCTTCCCCCATCTTAAGTCTCTAAAACGGGCTATGTAACCTGAGAGCTGACTCTACTATCCACACCAACAGGGACCAGAGGCACAGAGGATACTCAAGGAGTCACCCTCTTTGAATCACTTCACATTGGCTGCGGGTGGTATTCTGTCACACCCCCCTCTACCTCATACCACCCCAGTCTGTCCACACTGACCACGACGGGTGGGGGCAGGAGGTACGGGGCTGTGACAGAGCAGCTTCTTGTTTTTAGAGGAGGAACCCAGGAGATGTGGAATCGAGGGCCCCGCGCTACCTTCGTAGATGGTCATGTCCATCCAGCCGAAGCCCTCTTGCTGGAAGCCGTTCATGTCCTCGGTGAGGGGGTAGCCGGCCTGCTGCGCCGCCTCCAGGAACGCGCGGTGCAGCGGGTGGCCGCTCTTGGCCC